CCCCTTTTGTTTTTTTTTTTTTTTTTTTTTTTTGCTTTCCTCTTTAATCTTCCTCACCTGTCCTTTGTCCAGTTTTCAAAGCTTGGATGATCATCCTTTGTCTTTCAGCCTTGCTTCTATTTCTTTTCATTTATCTCTATATTTGTTCCCCTATCCTTCTTAAATCCACACCCACCAGGGTAAAAATCACTCTTCTAAGGGGAAACTCACTGCATAAAGTTCATGGTGTATGTTGGATTTTGTTATATAACTGTAGGTTTTGCTTCTATGGTTGGAGGTACAAAGTTAATAGTTACCACAGTTTGTCAGTTTCTAGGCTGTACTTGATGGTATTGTTATTGTTAATTGTACTACTTTAGCTAGAGTGTCATACCTATTGTGATCAGTTGTTCTCCCTTATATAACAACACTGGGATTATCTGGGGTCATAATCATTACCATAGTCCAGTACCAAAGGACTGGGTCAAATAGCAACTTCTTATCCCTAATAAATTTTGAAGGTAGGATCTTGTGTCGCGAGCCGCAATGTCAGAATCCTGCCAGCAGGTCCCAAACCCGAGGGAAGAACAATAGGAGAGCAAACAGTTTCACGAACTTAGTTCCAGGCTCATGCTCTCTTCGTAGCAAGACCCCGTTTATTTTTCAAGGTGTGGTATATATAGGCTAAAACCGAAACCAAAAGTGTAAACATTTATACTCTTCAGCTGCATGGGAGCGAGAGCTGCATGGGAGCAAGGGCTGCACGGGAGCGAGAGTACCGCCCACACATTCCAGAGGGAAACAAAAACAGCCATTATGGGTTACATCTGCTACCAGCTGAACTCGCCCGTTGTTATGGGCGACAGCACGTCCGTGCTGGCGAGGTGACTCAAATTTCAATCATGGCTAGGCCTATGTCAAGGCTCACCATGATGGCTCACCATAATTCCCCCATCTCTCTTTGATAGCATGAAGAATGCTAGCAACTCATCATGCATCAGCCAAGGAATCTCTGTCTTAGGCGGCAGAAGTCTTCCATCTCCTTACTCGTCTCAGTCGCAGGGCTTATGTCCCAATACGACCTGTTTTAGGTTGGTAGACAGAAGCTTCCGTTCTTACCCGTCACTGAGTATCCCAAGGCGGGGGATCTAAGCACGCCGAGCCTGAGCCAAGTAAATGGCTACGCGTGTTGTATCATCATCCAAAGAAGCCTGTACAGCCATAGCTAAATGCTCATATTTAAACTGGGAATGCTTCCAGCATCGATATGAGCAGTAACCCAAAATACACAACCCAATCATAACAGCAATAACAATAAGCCATATAACAATCCAAGAAGGTGAAAACATCTTTTTCAAATTTTCTCAAACTTCTGTAGCAAAATCTAAATCAAGCCGGATAGAATTGGCATGAATACCAGACAAAATCTCAATGTCCAATGACAACTGATAAGTTGCATTTAGAAATGTCCGATTCCAAGACCCTCGCAACAATGATGAAAGTCGTCTAACTTCCTCAGAATGGGTTTTGACAGGAAAGGGAGTAAGGCAGAGTTGTTGAAATCTGGGATCACAGTCCAATCGAGTATGCAACCATAATCCTTCAACTTCTTCATTTAATAAGTCCATTTGTTGCTGAAGTGTAGCCAAACCAGTTCCAATGTGAGGGTTGATGCGTTGTTGAGTTTGTAGAACCGTGGTTGTAGTGTTTTGAAGATCATTGTTGGTAGCTGTGTTCTGTAAAGTTCCTGTTAATGTCACTGCGGAGGTGATGGCAGACACCAAGGCTATGATGCCAGCGATGATTCCCACCACCACGGCACCTGCCACTCTTTTTCTGCAAGAAGGGGAGGAGATCTGTGCCCAAACAACAGTGGAGAAATGGTTAGAAGTATTCAAAGGAATCCACACCTGAATGGGAATTCAGAAGACGGCCATAGCAAGTCGTCCATGATGAAACACAAAAGATTGATACATTCTTGTCATCTTACGATACATATAACAATTACAAATGCAAAGAACCATCAAAACTACAATGATCACCAATACAGGAGCAAACACCACAGAAAAATACTGTTCAGCGGCAATACCGAAATGTTGGCCTGAGGAAAACGTGAATCTGTGTACCAAAGTCCTACAAACAAGCTTAAGTCCAAGTGATTAGTCCAAAAACTTTTGAGATGTGTCATTAAATGGGCTTTCTTGAGGTATAGTAACATAGCACCTCTTCCATAAAATAGTAGTACTGCTTATGTTTGTTTCTTCTTCACACAAAGGTAATGATTGTGGAGCTTACTGTCCCATGATACTGGATGTAGATTTGTCAGGATGATCCACATGATGAACCAATCTCTCTGGTAACAATCAAGCTCCATCATGTTCCTATGAGAAAACACAAACATATCCTCGGCCCCATTTTAAAATGGGGTCAGATCCATACCATTGACCAGTTAAGGGATCTCTCTATTTTACCAAGGTATATGGAGAACCTTGTGGATGCCAGAATCTTTCTGCTGCGGAATGGCCATGCTTATAAATTTGTAAAAAATTTAAAATATAGGTAGCATGATTTAAATCATTTCTGGGTGAAGAGGAGTACAATTCCCCCTTTTTTATTTTTTGTAGTTGCACCTTTAATAGTGGTGAACAGGGGAGAATACCTGGATCAAAAGGTTATTGTCATAAACAATATGTTGGAAAACCTGCATGGTCAAACAATATAAATACATTTTGTATACCAGATATGAATTCTTATGTCCTGAAATGTAGCTTTGCATCAACAGGATCTTCCCCCCGCTTTTTTTTAACAGAAAATAACCATCAGAAACATATTACAATAACATATTTATAATTCAGACCTTTGATAACCAATTAAACATTTTTAACAACATATTTAACAAGATATATCTTTTTATAAGGCTATGAAAATTATTTTGGTGGCTCCCATTAGTGAACAAAGATCAGAATAAATTTTCTGAGCAGCTGCATCTTTATTTACCAACAGGAGCGTATCCAAACTTAAAGGTTATATTTAATTATCTTTTAAGTTTTTTATTTGATCCTATAAAGCCAGGTTGTAGAAATCAACAATCCACTTGCATTTGATGTCATTCTGATCAAGAACATACAAACATCTTTGAACATTTAAGACAGACAAACATATAACACTTAAGACAGACAAACATATAAGACAATTTTAACGAGTGCACTCAGATGGTTTTGGCCAATTGAATTATAAAATCTTTTTGTTATGACTAGTCAAAATTTTTGCAGATCAAAATTAACAGAGATCTCTTGTAGAATTAGGGTTAAAGGAATGAATACTCTTCTTGACTATAAATGTAAACCTTTTATAACAAACTTGAAACCAACAAGCAAACATTTTATAAATCATTTCCATAAACATTCTCTACATTCTTAGGTAAAGACAAGAGGAACATACAAAAACCTTTCATGTTAAAAGTACAACTCTTACTTATAGCTTTCCTAATATTTTTCTATCTCATTTACTATTAACCT